GATTGATTTTTTTTCCCTTAAAAAGAATGGCACTGAGTGATGTCAGTGATTCCTCTGACTTATACCATGATGGATGGTAGTAAAAACCATCGAAGGGGAAGGAATCCAGTTTTGACGGAGTAGTTACTATATGTCAGGAACTTTATGTTCTTTATTGCTCTTTCCTATAATTCTGAAAATTAGTATCATTATCTCTGTTTTACTGTTAAAGATCCTGACATGCAAAGTGTGACCGATTTCCAATCCCATGTTCTCTCTATTGCACCATGCTGTCTCATCCTTTCCAGTGGAAACTTATTATTGTGGTTTGGCCACATTAATACCCTGCTCACCTTTTTTCCTACAGCAATTAAGCACATGTTGAGAACACTCTGATTCTGACAGAATTGAACTGTTTTGAACCAAGAAATTTACTGATAATAATTCAAGGGGGCAAAGCATTTTTGTTATCTTTTGTTCCTGGTACTGAGGTCTTGGAACTGTTGTTCAGATAATCAGTCAATGGTACCTGATTCATCATTTGTAATAATACAAAGGGGAAAAATTACAGCCAAGAAATCCATTTCGTTGATTATCCATATGTGTTCTAAAAGAGATGGCCAGAATCTCTGCCCATTTATCCTGTACGGTATTTTCAAACAGATTCCAAAACTGCCAAGCCACTCACAGTGTGAAATATCCGTGCCAAATAGTTATGGCATCTTCATGCCAATAATTGAGACAAAAAATTCTTATAGAATGAAGCAACAGCAAAAATAGCAACCTTCCCCTGTGGGAAGCCAGTGGTTTTCTTTAGAGAGGAAACAACAGATGAAATATGAGTAATTATGCCATGTAGTCTCTTTGGCCAAGAGTATAATTGTTTACCTAAGCTTTTTTCGTATAGATTAGAATCTTGTGTTGCAGTCTAATAGATTGATTTAACTGCCTCTGTGACTTCCTCTTATTTTTAAGATTAGGCAGTGCATGACAAAGAGGTTAATTGCAACCCAGTAGAGCTAAACTAATGTTTTATTAAGAAGGAGATGGCATCCTGAGCTTTTAGGAGAACAAATGTTCTCATAATTCCATGAACAACTCATAGAGCAAGTACTAGGCTCTTCATAGTCAGCTGTCTGTTCACATTACCCCATATCGACCACATCTAAGTAACATCAGCGAACTGTGCTGAATAATCAGTTACACCAGTGAGGTCTCTGTAAAGGTGAGATCAGTAAATGTATCACTGGGAAAAGTTAGAACTGCTGATGTGTCTTTTTTCTCTGACCTAGACAGTATGGCTGCTTTACTTTTTCAAAGTTTGACTGTATAGTGGGGGTTGGTGACAGATCAAATGAACTAATTTAGTTAATAACATAGGCAATTCTGAATGTGTTCAAGGGCACAAAGGGATAGGCATAAGGAAATTCACTGTGGTGTTGTTAGTGATAGTGAAAAATCTAGAAACTACTTAAATGTTCATGAATAGAACATATGCATGATCAGAAAAGAGCAAATGTCTACTACTCTGAGATGATAAAGGTGCAGGCAAGAATCAGTGCCATACAGGTGGGTCTTGAGATGGGGGGACAGAAGGGAAATTGAGGGCTATCTATTATGTTTCTTATGGCTTCTGTTTATTCAATAACATTTGACAAGGTAATCTGAGAGTGAGGAGAAAGGGGTGGTATAGGGGTCTTGAAAAAAATGCTAACTGTTTAGAACTGAAACAGTTCTAAGAAAGCCCTAACCCTGGCCATTATCCTAGGAAATGAGAGAATGCATGCCATTTGATGATTTGTATTTTTCCATATGTCAATGAATTTATTCCTTCAATATCTCTTTTAATTTTTTTCAAAATATTTTCTGCATAAACCTTATTGAACTCTGGGAATAAAAATGGGCTTCTTTCTAAATCCAGTACTCAGAAGTACTAAGATGTGTTACATCACTTGTCTTAGGAAAATGAAGCTTATATATATATATATATATATATATATATATATATACACACTTATATATAAGTATAACATTGCCTTGTAAGTTTCTAGAAATATTCAATGCAATTATAAATCCAGTTGAAGTAAGAAAGAGAAATGATCACAAGAAATATTTCAGGTGCCAACATTGTTACTGTCATCTGAAGATACCCTTACCACTTTTACCCAACCAAACCAAACCAAACCAAACGAAACCCAATGATAATAAAACAAAATGGGGCTTATTTTAAATCTGATTTTTAAAGTTAAAAATAAGTCTTAATTAATTAATGGCCTGTTTTAGGCCAGGCCCTGATAAAGTGCTGAATATGGAGAGATGAACAATAGTGAGAGTGACTGACATGTTAATCAACAACTGCATTAGTGTTGCTCGAGGTATATAGTTTATGGTGTGCAAGCACAGAGGAGTGTACCTCTCTTATGAGTGGATCAGAAAAGTTTCCAGAAGGAGATAATGCTTTAACTGAGTCTGGAGGTGCCAGTAAATGCATGAAAGCCTGGAAGCACTGAATATCATGGGGTGTACAGAGAATTCCTAGTAGATTTAATTTTAGTTTTAAATTTATTCTTTTCTTTTAATTTGCTACTGATTTTAGTAGGGCTGGAATACAGAGTATATATGAATAAGTAGAAGGGGATGAATGCAGAGCAATCTTTGGGATCAGAAACTAAATGACCTATATACCAAGGATATGCAATGTTATACTGAAGACTTCCGGGGGTCTCTTAGAGAGTTTGAAATAAGGGAAGGGCATGGACCAGTTGTGTGCTTTAGAAAGCACTTTGGCAGCAATGTAGAGAGTTGGTTGTGGAGTATATGGTCAGCGAGCAGATAAGAGAGTATAGTCTTTAAGAGGCTCGGGTGGAAGATGATACACTGACATATAGAGATGGAGAGAGGAGATTCAACTTGAGTATTTATTAATAAGTTATAGTCTATAAGGCTTAGAAGTGATTGGATATGTGGATGTGGAGATAATAGTGAAGCAGGATGGTAAATTTCAAGTTTCTGATTTGGGCAATGGAACTATCATGGGCCCATTCACCAAGTCGAGGAATACATGAAAGATGCGGAGTTGGAGAGGGAGGGAGAAGATGATGAGATCAATTTTGGACATGTTGAGTGTCAGATGCCTATAGAATATCTTAGTAAGAGGTGGCTAATGGCTGATTAGATACTAGATAGGTCTAGTCCTCAGAAGAAGAGTCTAGATTGGTGATAAAGATGGCATATTTGTCTTTTACATTGATGTTAAGTTCTTAGAGAGCTGGTGGCATATCTGGGGCTTCCTTTTTTAAAAATTTTTTTTAGCACATTACACAGGGTTAGCCTTAGGGTTACATACAATTCTCAAGGCCTAACATTTTTTTTTCTTTCTAGTCACTAGGATAAAGTCCATTAATTAAGAATTAAGGACCTTCTACCAATTGATGCCAGTTTACCTATTTTCTAATCTACTTGTTGGATACCATAGAGGGAGCTGAACTGGTAGGGAAATACAAAGCTTAACTGAAGTCAGAATTAGCCTGAAGAATGGTAGTAAAGTATGATGTTATCTACCTAGTATAGTTTGAAAGACATTTGACGGGTGTCTGTCCAGGATTTCTTCCTTCATCTTTTGTCACATTGTTTGAAATTTCATCATTGCCATTACAGTCTTTCCTTGGGTCCAGCAGGAGTTTTCCTTGTTAAGGCGTTATGTGACGAATAACCTAGTTAGGGGCACTAGCATAGAAATTATCACATGGTCTTAATGGACTCTTTAATAAATTAGAATCTTTGGGATATGTAGAGAAAGGATAATTGAGATAGGACCAGAGTATGGTTAGTTTGCTCTACTTATTCACATTTCCTTGAAATTAATTATTTTAAGAACAGGAATTTGAGGCCTCAGAAGAAATTTCTTTTTTTTTACGATTTTATTTGTTTATTTGACAGATAGAGACAGTGAGAGAGGGAACACAAGCAGGGGGAGTGGGAGAGGGAGAAGCAGGCTTCCCACTGAGCAGGGAGCCCAATGTGGGGCTCAATCCCAGGACCCTGGGACCATGACCTGAGCCGAAGGCGGATCCTTAACAACTGAGCCACCCAGGCGCCCTCAGAAGAAATTTCTTTCTCATTAAATTCACATCCCTTTCCCCCAGAAGTTAAAGTTACTACTCTTTCAGAAAATAATATTAGGGATTCTAGATATTTAAGGAAGGATCTTTAGCTATCACTGTAGTTGTTAAGAGAGAAATAAGATTTTTCTATGTAACAGGAAAAGATGGAAGTGTGATAGGAACCATAATATGTGAGATTTGTCAAAATTGGGCTTCATTTTCTTATGTGTATATATCTGCACACAAGGCACAGTAGAACTGTTTTTATTAGTCTATAATAAATACCCCAACCCCCAACTTTCAGTGGCTTAACACAACAGAAGGCTATTTCTTGCTCACTTTACAGTCCAAGGCAGGTGATCCTTGGCATATGGCAATCTTCTGTGCACTGATTCAGTACCTCTCCCCGGGGCCTTGTTGTCACTTGCATCCAGCTCGTAGAAAGAGGAAGAAAGTGTAAAGAAGTCTCACTTGCTTCTTATGTTGCGGCATGAACATGTGTAGGAGTGACACACTTCATTTCTGCTTTTATTCCATTGATGAGAACTGGGGACATGGACACAGCTAGATGCAAGGAATGCTGGGAAGTGTATTCATGGCTGGGCAGCTGTGTTCCAGTAACAAATCTGTATAATGCAAGGGGGAGCACAGAATTTTGTGGGCAGCTATAACTTGGCTACTGAGACTATGTAATAGATATGAGCAAGACACAAAGGTCACATATAAAAATTACTCATTACTTTATAGCTACGCTTGAAATGTGATGATGTTTATGCAGAAATAAAATGCTTTAGATTGATAGTTTTTATTAGTTCTGGATGTTGTGCTATTTCTTAGATCCTTTGAATATTAGCAAGAATGTTGGGTTTCATATTCGTTATATGTGAAAAACTGAGACTTTCTCTCCTTACTTTTAAGGTTGGACAAAATTTGCCCGATTGACGCGGGCTTTGACAAATAGCCGAAGTGTTTTGCAGCAGCTCACGCCAATGAATAAAACAGAGGTGGTCCACAAACATTCAAGATTAGCTGAAGTAAGTGGGAGACTAACCTTCCTTCCCAAGATGGTGGTGGTGGTACATGTTTTCCCCCCAAATGATTTAATGTAGGTATTTCTGGGTATTATTTTACAAGTACTTATCTTCTAATTATTTTTCCCTTATGGAATTATAGAAATTTTAAATGTTTCTTTTTATTTTCTCGTATTTTTGAAATGAGAAACTAGTTCATGACATCCCAAGTGGTATTTGTAGAGGGTGAGGTTTTCTTTGAGTAAATGAGATAGGAAGTTCACTCATTTTATCCATTTATGTATGCAGCACACACTCATTGAGAGTTTTCTCTGTGCCTGATACTTTACAAAGGATGTGAAGATGAATAAGCAATGGGCTCTACCATCAAGGAACTAAAGATCAAGCAGAAGAAACTGACAATAGGATATGATAAATAGGATGATAGAGTGCAGTGGGAACACATACAAGAGCATTTACCTAGACTTGGGGCTCTAGGGAGGCTTACCTGAGTGAGATGATACCTGGGGTGAGTGAATCTTGAAGGAAAAATATGAGAAATGGGTAAAGAAGAGATGCAGGTCATTTCTTCCAGGGAGACCAGCATGTGCAAAGGCTCAGAGATGAGAGACTATGATGACTTTGAGTATGAGTTCAGTGTCGGTGAAGTCAGGTGAAGGAAAGGTTAAAGTCATGTAGAGTGAAACAGTGGTGGTTGGTGTCCCATGTGCCAGGGGAATGATATGATCACATTTATGCTTTAGAGAAACCTCTCAAAGGGAGATCAGTCCCTATGGTTTTCTTTGCAATGCCATGTTTTTTTGTATTAATTTAAAAACTTGATTCTAAGAAGGGGTCCATAGATTTCATCAGATTACCAAAAGGGATTTAATCAAAAATGATTAAAAACCTAGTGGCTTTGTGTTGAATGGGTAGATAGGGAAACTAGTTAAGAAAACCTAAGAGTAAATCAGCTAGATTGACCATGGCTTTAAGCAAGGAAACCGGAAATGGAAATGGGCAGATAGCAGATACTCCAAGATTAGAGTCAACACATTTGTTGATAGATAAGAATTGAACGTGAAAAAGAGGATGAGTCAAAGACAACTGGATAGATAGTACCGTGGCTAATAAAATGACAAATATAAGAGAAGGAAGAGAAGGTTTGGGGGCAACGGGAATGAGTTCAGTTTTGGGCATGTTAAGTTTAAAGTGCCTGACAGGAAATCTGAGTGGAGATGCCTCAAATGCAGAGGGATGAAGGGGGGGAAATCGGAGGGGGAGACGAATCATGAGAGACTATGGACTCTGAGAAACAAAGTGAGGCTTCCAGAGGGGAGGGGGGTGGGGGGATGGGTTAGCCTGGTGATGGGTATTAAGGAGGGCACGTTCTGCGTGGAGCACTGGGTGTTACACAACAAACAATTAATCATTTTGATGTACCCAAAACATCAAAAACAAATGATGTACTGTATGGTGATTAACACAACATAATAATAAAAGAAAAAAGGCAGAGGGATTTCTGGGTCTGGCTCTGGAGGGATATCTGGGTCTGAATTTCAGGCCTTGGTGCCCTAGGACTAGATGATGTTACCCAGAGAAAGTATATTGAAACCAGAGAGAAAAGGAATTGAGGACAGAACTCCAGGGCCGCTAAAAGCTTTGTTGTTCATGTGTCTTCTGTAATCATCACTTGTCTTCCTGGTGTGAATGATGCCAAAAGCTAACTCAACTACAAAAGCTTGGCTAAGCACTTAGTGGGCACTCACAAAATATTCTGAGGTAGCTTACCAAAGAAGAGAAAGATGAAATTAAATATATATGTTCATCAGTTTGCTCTGCTGGAGAAAAGTGAGTTGAAGAGCTCCAGAGTAATTTTCTAAACTAGTGGCAGATATTAAATTTGGTTTGGAGAGGGTGTGGAAGTAAAGTTTGTTCCTTGAATTTGGAGGACTCTGGATTTTTCTTGGATCATAGCTAACAGGGGACTTAGAAGGCTTTCTGCTCTAAATAGCACTGTTAGCCTGGGGAGAGATTAATACTTAGATGTGCAATCAGGTTTTTAAAAGCCCAGGCAAGACATTAACATAATTAAATATTAACTAATAATAATAATCACAATATTTTAAAAAACAATATGCAATTAGGACAAGATTTAAAGCAGGCCATTAGATACAACTTCCTTTGTCAGTGATGCTTGTTATAAAGTACTACTTGATTTTAAAGCTTTTTTTTCTCCCTTGAGTTGTCCCTTTTTTTCTACAAATCAAGCTGAAGTGGAGGGACATGTTTCTGTGACTGCTGACTTTCATAGTCATGATTCCTTCTGGGTCTTAACAGTACCTTATTCAGAGTTTTTCTTTTCTCCATTGTACAACTGGGCAAAAACAGAGGAAGGGGACCATAGAGAGGAAAATTTTTTACCTTTGCACCCTGAAACATTCATTGGTTTTTTCCTTCTGCATCAAGTGGGAAGTTTCTTTCCCCGCAATAGCACATGATTTTTTACTTTTATTTTTGAGGAAATTTCACCCCTGTTTCTTCCCATCTGATTTTATTTTATTTTTGCATCGCCTTTGGATTATTGATAGTTCCTTATTGGTCATCTCTAATTCACAAACCTGACTCCAATACAAAACTGTTTTCTGTCAGGTCATAGGCTTGATTTCAGAGAACATGAAGAAATAATGAGATTTTTCAAAAGGTATTTTGTCTGCATGTGCTCTTAGTCCAAAGTTGGACCCAAAAGAAGCAACAAGTTAGCAGAAGGATATCATTTCAAAAATTTTACTCAGAGTCATATAATTTGTTCAACCTGACGATTTGGATTTGCTGTTGAACTTCAGGTTTTCACTTTTCCCAAGACATATAAATTTTATCACAATGCCATCGGGACACCTACATTTGGAACCAGTTCCCAGTTTCAAAGATCTGGGTCTCCTTGTAGGTAGTTCATCAGTTGTCCACAAGAACTGACTTCCTGCTGACTGGCTTCAGCTTTTCACTTTTACAGGGGTGAAGATAAATATCTGTACCAATGCCATGTCCTTGGTTCTGATTCTATCAGTGTCAGTGCTCTCAGATATTCAGAGAGAAAGAACGTGTTTGTATTGGTACAAAAATAATCCGAAAATGTGTTTTCATCCCTCTCCACCTAAGACTCATCACTTCTCAAAGTACAAGTGGACTAGCAACAAAAATGAAGGATTGTTACTCACTGCTTTATAAAAGCGCCCCAGAGTCAGAGTGAAGATTAAAGTCGTGCTCTGCATATGAGAGAGATCAAAGTGTGAGCATGAGTGTCCCTTTGTGGTTGATGCCATGCTCCTCCTCTATCTCTCTGCCGGCTTCTCCTCCCCCTCTCCTAGCATTTCTGGAACCTTTTACATATGCAAGTCACTGTCTGAAGAGCTGGGTCCTGAATGTCTAAGGAAATATCAGACAAGAGTTTTACCTTGGACTGTACATTATAATCACTCAGGAAAGGTTTTGAAAACATAGATCGCACAAGATGATTTTTCGTCAGTGGGGGCGCATTTCTAGGTATGAGTATATCATCGTTTAAAAAATTTCTCCCGATGGTTCTAGTTTGTAGCCAGATTTAAGGAATACTAACTTCAAGAGTGATCCAATTCCATCTCTAGAGAAGACATCTTATGTTCTGCCAGCGTGCTGAGCAGGGTCAACTTGTCTATAAGCAGTGTGTGGGACCATAGCATTTTTAGGGGTCCATGGGATGTCCGAATTTCTATTAACAGTAGAAGGAAAAATGGAACTTTTAGGTAAAAAAGTTGGATTTATAATAATTTATTCTTCCTTGTAACAAGGCAGTTGTAAAATGCAATTTTTATTTTATTTTATTTTTTTTATGGAGAAAAAGGGGTCCAGGAAGGCAAAAATGCCTAGGGCCCATGAAGGTCATAAATGCACCCTCGCACTTGAGTTTATTTTCTTAGTCTGATTTCTTTGTGCTTCAGCTATAGGCTGTGTAAATATAGATGGTAAAATATTAATGTTGACTATGAAGAAAATTTTCATGTTTAACACGGTGAAATTGGAATGGATAGATCAGTGGCTATAAAGAGAAAGAGAAGCCATGATTATGTATGATTCTGTCTACATAAAGCTCTATCCCAACATGAAGCTTACATTCTTGGTAGGAAAATTTGTTGCTAAGTAATCTAAGGCCTTATGGGAGAAATATGGCTGGGGCACTGATAATGAGGATAAATACATAAAAATCTTTCTAAATAGTTCTGATAGCCCCAAACAAACAACAATAGTTATAATACACAACTATTGAGAATAGTAGTGATGTTTTTCACATTTCAAATATTAATAATGGGTATTATAAACTTAGTTTTCAGTTATGTAAGTTCTATGCACAAGAGAAACTTTTCAGGATAATTGTCGAGTTTCAAGAAGTGCTAGTATATTTGTTTTGTTTTGTGGTGTATGAGTTATGTGCTAATAGGTATTTTTGTTTATGTCTATTCTTATATTCAAATATTTAATGCATTTATAACCTTATGATAACTTTTTGACTGCTACCTTCTGGATCCCATTAGTCTTAGAGATGATGAACACTTGGGTATATAAGATGACAAAGCTGCTGGAAATATTTATCAAAGTCCCATTTACAAATTCCTTAACACATAGATTTACTTAGCCTTACCTTCATTGATGGCATGGAACAGAGCTCTCTGATCTATTCCTTCAACTCCTTTTCACAGTTTCCAAGTCCTGGAAAGCAATGCTAACTCTGTGTTTGTTACTTTTGCCCAGCAGTGCCCAGGCCTCTACTCTTGCTCTGTCATCTGCTTTTTCCCTTTGTCTCTTTAATTAGACCTGCTTAGAGTAAGTCAAGGTTCAGATAACCTTGCAGTGAAATTTTTCCATCTGTCAAAAAGCTATGGAGAAGCAAACCTGAGTATTTAGCATTTTCTTTTTTCCAAAGCAAATATGCATCTGGATAGGAAACACAATTCTTTAAGTCCTGTTTGAAGGGAGAAAAGGAAGAAGCAGGCTATAACACTTACAACCCTGTTATCACTATGCCGCTCATTAGGGCCCTTGCTGAGTCCCACTCAACAGCAAGATCACCAACAGTGTGGTCCTGGGGTTCAGCGAGGCCATCAGAATCAAAGTTATGCTCCCTGAGGTGCTAAATATGTATGAAAAATGGATAACGGTGAGTCACCCAAATAACTGTTGGACAATCAGAGATGTGTGATTTTAGGCAGGCTTGCAAGTGAGTATACAGAAAGCAATCCCAGAAGTGGATGTCCAGCCGTGCTGTGGATCAATGTTGGTGTTGGAGGAAGTTATTGAGAGTATATGACTGCTGGCTGACCCCGGAACTGGACCCAGGCAATCGGAGGCTCCTCATTTTGGTCCTTGGAATATACACTCTGCCAACCATTCCCACAGTGGGAGCCATTTTCAAGGACATAGCCTTGAAAGAGTAGGATGTTGTTGAGACCATTTGGACTGTGTATGTGACTGGATCCAGTTAGGGTATCTATTAAGCTTTTAAGATTCTGGTAGGTGGGTGCGGAGGTCTACTTGTCTTACCATTTCCTGTGACAAGCCTTGTAAGTATGTCCCCTTGCTTATTAAACTGCCACCTAATGATCTGGAGTGGTCTGCCCTTTTCTTTGTTCTCTCCTTGCCCTTGGTGTTTGGGGGCCAGTTTGTGAACCAACAGTTGGCCCCTGGAGAGAAAGCCAGATAGAACAGCAGAAAGATTAACTTCCTTTAAACAAACTTTGGTACAACTCAGAAGAGGGAGACAAAACCTTAGGGTCTGACTGGTCTTAAAACCAGGAGTCATGAAAAATTCGCTGTGGTTTGACTTCCAGTAAGTTTGAATTCATTACTAACTGTGCAAAGATGTTCAAGTCATTTATATACACATTGTCTCTCTTTTAGGTTCTTCAGCTGGGATCAGATATCCTTCCTCAGTATAAACAAGAAGCGCCAAAGACGCCACCACACATTATTTTACACTATTGTGCTTTTAAAACTACTTGGGATTGGGTGATTTTAATTCTTACCTTCTACACCGCCATTATGGTTCCTTATAACGTTTCCTTCAAAACGAAGCAGAACAACATAGCCTGGCTGGTGCTGGACAGTGTGGTGGACGTTATCTTTCTGGTTGACATTGTTTTAAATTTTCACACGACCTTTGTGGGACCTGGTGGAGAGGTCATTTCTGACCCCAAGCTGATAAGGATGAACTATCTGAAAACTTGGTTTGTGATCGATCTGTTGTCTTGTTTACCTTACGACATCATCAATGCCTTTGAAAATGTGGATGAGGTAAGTTTCTTTTTATTCTGAGTACTGTGGATCGTATGTTTTGAGAAAATTAAGATAAAAGGAGTTTACAGATAATCCAAACTTCTTTTTTTTTTAAGATTTTATTTATTTATTTGACAGAGAGAGACACAGTGAGAGAGGGAACACAAGCAGGGGGAGTGGGAGAGGGAGAAGCAGTTTCCCCACTGAGCAGGGAGCCTGATGCAGGACTCAATGCCAGGACCCTGGGATCATGACCTGAGCTGAAGGCAGACACTTTTTTTTTTTTTTAAAGATTTTATTTATTTGACAGAGACACAGTAAGAGAGAGGGAACACAAGCAGGGGGATGGGGGAGGGAGAAGCAGGCTCCCCGCAGAGCAAGGGGCCCGATGAGGGGCTCGATCCCAGGACCCTGGGATCATGACCTGAGCCAAAGGCAGACGCTTAACTGACTGAGCCACTCAGGTGCCCCCCGAAGGCAGACACTTAACGATTGAGCCACCCAGGCGCCCCAATCCAAACTTCTTTTTAGCCACCACTTTCAGCCTTCACCCTACTTGCTGTAAATTATAATATTCAATGACTTTAATTTTTATCTGCTTCTTCTTCTTGATTTCTGGTTGATAATACCAATTACTAAGACAGTGGTTGTGGTTCGAAGTTGTGGTTTGAAGAAGTGGAGGTTGTGGTTGGAGGAGGTGGAACAGAAGAAAAGCAGAGCATTTGGGTGTCAAATACAGTTATGAATTAGGTAACTGATAAAGAGAGATGAAATAGATGTATTTTCTTTGGAAAACAGTAGCATTCTTTGCATCCATAGATCTTTTGACTCCTCCTTTCCAGATAAAAATGGTAGCAGTGCTTGAGTTAACATGAAAAAAAAAACCTTTTATGGAAAATCCTCAAATTTTTGCCTGTTTGGTTTCTTCTTTATAGCCTTTGTTTTAAATTTTGTCTAAGTACATTTGTGGTGAGAGACTATATTGGATGACTTCTGATGTCTGGTCTAGTTCAAGGTCCTGTTCGTTCAGTATTACCTGCACAACTAGAAATACTTAAAATGTGGGGGGCACCTGGGTGGCTCAGTTGGTTGGGCAGACAACTCTTGGTTCCAGCTCAGGTCATGATCTCAGGGTCCTGGGATTGAACCCTGCATTGGGCTCTGCACTCAACGGGTAGTCTGCTTGAGGATTCTTTCTCTCTCCCTCTGCTCCTCCCCCTGCTTGCACACACTCTCTCTCTAAAAAAATTAATCTTAAAAGAATACTAAAAATGTGTAAAATCTTTTTTTTTAAAAAAGATTTTATTTATTTATTTGTCAGAGAAAGAGCACACACAAGCAGGGGGAGCAGGAGGCTCCCCGCTGAGCAAGGAGCCCAAAGTGGGACTCGATCCCAGGAACTTGGAATCATGACCTGAGCTGAAGGCAGATGCTTAACCAATTGAGCCACCCAGGTGTCCCTAAAAATGTGTAATATCTTAAAAGAACACTTCATCCAGAGTTTCATAGCTTTTAACTTAATAGTGGATGATTTCCAACTTGCTATAGCAGGCTGATAGGATGCAACCAATAATCTCAACTAATAATGTAAAAATGAGCCAATATAGAATGCATCTATTATTAAAATGTGTTCATAATGATAATATTACAAACTTAATTTCCCTAAAGATTCTACTCTGTCCTTGTAGACTGCTCAGATGGAAAATTCTCTACTATATTGTTGTTGTTACTCTATGTATGTTGGGAGGTAGATAGAAACTATTCAGTGACTTTTTCCCCATAAAATTTCTACACTCAGTTAACTTTAATAATATTAAAAAAACGATTTCCCTGAAAGTTAAGTGTAGATATGGTGTTTTGATGCTGTATACGTTACTTTAAAAATTACAGAAAAAGGAGGAATTATAGTAAATTGTTTCCTAATGTTAGATTCCATTTACACTTGCTTTTAAAGGTACAGTTATATCAAAAACTAATGATGTAATGTATGGTGATTAACATGACAATAAAAAAATAAAAAAAAAGAGAAAAAAAATAAAGGTACATTTATTTCTTTCCTATTTACCCTCTGAAAGGGTGAATAACTCTGAAGGGTGAATTAACTCTGAAAGGAGTTAATTTTGAAAATGTGAAATATGATGAGATGATAAGCAGTATTTGTATTTCATTTACTATATGAATTAAAATATTAAGATCAATATGTTAAGATTTCAGTTATTTAGAACATAGGCATAAAAGGATTTTAATAACAGTAATCAAAAGATTGGCTCAGCTCATAGAAAATACACTAAATATGTTACAAAATAATAAACGCATTTAACATAATATATAAATGTAACAAGAGATCCTCAGCCTCATGCATATTAAGTAAAATGCAGAGTAAAATTACAAACTACACCGACATACCATTTTCACTTAGCACAGTGTTGCAGTGAAAACTCTGTTAACACACTAGGTTGGTGAGTATAGTAGCTAAGAAGGTGCACTGCTTAGCTCATCCTTCATGGAAACCTGGTGTCTGGAGCACAGTTCATAGCTTCCTGGAACCTGCTCTTGGTTTGGGAAAGCCAATTGTTAGCATCTTTTCCAAACTCAGCATTCATTTGGTGAGTCATTACACTGTCACACTAGTAGCTTGAAACTGCACGCAATGGGAGTATTTACACTTAGAAAGCCTAAAATGCTATAAATAAAGGCTTTTTAAATTTTATTTTATTATGTTAATCACCATACATTACATCATTAGTTTTTGATGTAGTGTTCCATGATTCATTGTTTGCGTATAACACCCAGTGCTCCATTCAATACGTGCCCTCCTTCATACCCATCACCGGCCTAACCCATCCCCCCAGCCCCCAGGCTTTTGTGTGTGTGTGTGTGTGTGTGTGACTGACAACTGCTGCATTTTCTCATCTGCTGCAGTTCACACACTGAGGCCGTATTTCCCCAAGGCTACTTTTAGCCAATAATTAAGAGTGGGGGCAATATTATAATTTAGTCTAGTCCTTCTCAATGCAGGACTCCTCTGTTGAGTAACTTTTGCTCTGGGGCTCCCCATTTACCTGTACTGTGGTCTGAGGCTCTTCTACCCCATCCCCCTTCACTCATGTGAGACCCGCATTTTGGTCTGAAGGCCCCTCCCTCCTCCCTTATCTTTCCCAGACCTTTAGCTCAGTAAAACTTACACCTCTAACCCTGACTTGGCAGCACTCCGTAGGGGACCCGAACCGATAAAGTGATGGTACGGGCACTCATACGTTGCTCAAGGGACTATAAATTGGTAAAACTTCTATGAAGAATGACTGACAGTATCTCATTTTGAAGAAAAAAGAAAAAAAGGGCTCAGAGGCAACCACTTTCAAATTGTTTAGGGGATTCTTTTATTATTTGCTTCCACGTCAGCAAACAACAAGATTATGTACCTACCTCTTGGTTTTTCAGTTTTAGGCCTTGTCTTTGACTTCTCAGTCAAAGACTGAGATTTGAGGTTCTAGCCCTTACTATGTCCATGCACTCTTCTCATCACCTCATTTTCACAATACAGGTATATCATTCTTTTGGGTCAATAAATATCATTATGACTACAAATATGCTACTTATGGTGGAACCTTAAACATGCTCTGATTGTTTTTCTGCACTTTCCTCAGAGTTGATAAATAGCTGGATTTATTGTTTGCTTAGTTTTTTGTACTTATCACTAATTCAAACACTAAGCTCTCTGCCAGTTGTCTACATCTTCTCTCATTACATTGGTGCGAGCAATATTCGATCAACATCATTTTCTTAAACAAATCTCTCTTTACTCCCCCCTGCCACATGATTGACTTTGGCTAACTATAATACTCTAGGCTAGAGATAATTAGGATTTCTGACCCTTTACATGTGACCTGTGCTCTTTTTGGAAGTTTGATGTATCCTCCCTAACCCGGGGTTCTGAATCTTTCTGATGATATGCCTTAGTGGGGGTCCGTTTTCATCAGTTTGGCTGGGCACTGATGGTGGCCCTTTTCAATCTGGAGAAGCACGTTTTATGTCTTAATTTCTTTTTCCTGTGATGATTATCTCCACCCTTCTCCCCCACTTTTTTTTTTCTTGCTAGAGCTCCTTTCATTCAGATATTGTACCTTTTGGACTAGTCCTCTAATTTTCTTTTTCTCTTCTCTCCTATTTTCCAGCACTTTCTATTTTTGCTATCCTGTCTGGGAGATTTCCTCAACATTATTTTCTCACTTTCTTTGTCCCTATTGATTGTTTTTGCTTAAGGTCTATTTGGCTTGATTCTAATAGAGCTAAATTAGCTTTCATATAGTATTTGGTATATATATTTCTATATTTTAAATTTTATTATTATAGATTACTATACTCTAGCTGTATCTTCTAAAGATAGTATATGGATTCTGAGAGTCTAACTGACAAGCTTAATCTATGTATATTTATCAAGATTAATTGCATTTTGATTTACTTGAGCATATTCTTTTCTACTTTAAAATGCCTTTCTTTGCTTTTCTCTATGTTTTTATTTCCTTTTTCTTCTTTTCTTCCATCTTTTGGATTTTTTTCTCTCATCTCCTGGATTCCCTCCACTAGTTTGGAAGTTTTTCTGTTCATTGATTACTTTTTTTTTTTTTTAAAGATTTTATTTATTTATTTGACAGAGAGACACAGCAAGAGAGGGAACACAAGCAGGGGGAGTGGGAGAGGGAGAAGCAGGCTTCCCACTGAGCAGGGAGCCCGATGCGGGGCTCGATCCCAGGACCCTGGGACCATGACCTGAGCTGAAGGCAGATGCTTAATAACTGAGCCACCCAGGAGCCCCTCATTGATTACTCTTAACATTTTTAACATCAATATGTGGCTTATTAGTATCTTTACCCTTCTCCTAATTAATTCAAGGACCTCTGTTCATCTTCTGATCTTTCAAATTATTATTGTCTTGTATTTTGCTTCTATGTTGTTTTTAACTTTCCCTTTTAACTATTATATTGTTGTCTTATTTAATTTCAATACTTATTTAGATA